AATCATGTGGATTGACAATTTTTGCATTTTGTATTTAGGAGATGTTTGTCAACATGTAATATGTTGATTTTAGTCAATGGTAAACTAAGGAAAAGTTTTAAGGCTTCAAGAGGACTATGACAAGGGGATCCATTATCTCATTTTCTTTTTATTTTGGTGGCTGATGTGTTAGGCAGGATGGTTGATAGAGCGAGAGAGGTAGGTCTTTTTGAGGGATTAGAGGTTGGGAGGGATAGAGTTAGAGTGATTCACTTGCAGTATGCTGATGATACAATCTTTTTTTTCTTCAGGGATGAGAGTCAGATAGGTAATCTTTTTGCGATATTGAGACTTTTTAGGGTACTCTCAGGGCTTAAGATTAATCTAGAAAAAAGTAGCGTGGTGGGCATTAATATGCAACATAATCATCTTCAGAGACTAGCTACTCTTCTTGGATATAGGATCGAGGCACTTCTTTTCAAGTAATTGGGACTTCCACTTGGGGGTAATCCTAGAAGTGAAACATTTTGGAATCCAATTGAGGAAAAAATTGGCAAAAGATTTGAAGGGTGGAGTAAGGCATTGTTATCACGCGGGGGAAGATATACTCTAGTCAAGACAGTTTTAAGTGGCATTCCCATTTACCTTTTATCCTTGCTCAAAATTCTAGTGAAGGTAGCGAGTTCATTGGAAAAGATGACGAGGGATTTCCTATGGAAAGGTAAGGATGAGGGGAAGAAGGATCACTAGGTGAATTGGGAGATAGTTTCATTTCCAAAGGACAAAGGAGGTTTATCTATTGGCAACATTGTGGCTAGGAACATGGCTCTACTTGGCAAATGGTTATGGAGATTTCCAGTTGAATGTGATTCACTTTGGCATGTTGTAATTAGAAGCATGTATGGAACTCAAGATAATGGAAGGGACTCACAAGTGGTTTTGAGGGGTAATTGTCCGTCTTCTTGGAAATCAATTTCTCAAATCTATTCACTTTGGTCTCATTATCTTTCTGTAAGGGTAGGAAATGGGGAACTTGTTCGTTTCTGGGAGGATGTTTGGGTGGGCTCTTCATCCTTTGCTTCGGATTTTCCACATCTATATAGGGTGGCTCAGTCTCATAATTGTTCTGTTGCTTCTTTGGTTTACTCTTTTTTGGCTCTAATCTCTTAGAAGTTCAATTTTTCTAGAAATCTCAACGACAGAGAGACTACATAGTTGACTTCTTTGTTGTCAAGACTGGATCACTTTTCTTTGTATCCTCTTGTGGAGGATAGGAGAGCTTGGACTCCTCATTCATCGAGTATCTTTTCTTGCAAGTCTTTCTTTGACAAAATCATTGATATCCCTCATGTCCCTCACTTTCCTTTTTGTAAAAGAATCTGGAAAGCTTGTGTGCCTCTTAAAATGAAGGTTTTCAATGTGATCCTTGGCTCATGGAGGCATTTTGACAAATGATTCCCTACAAAAAAGGAGACCTAATCGTTGCTTAAATCCTCAATGGTGCATTTTGTGTTGTATGGATAGTGAATTTGTGGATTATTTATTTTTGAATTGTTCAATTGCTTTGAGGTTGTGATGCAGGTTGTTTCTTTTTAAGAATGTTTCGTGGGTGGCTCTAAGAGGCAGTGTACAAATGCTGTTAATTGATTTCCATGGTTTGGGAGGATCGACGAGGTCTAAGGTGTTTTAGTCTTGTGCCACTGTGCAACCTTTTGGGTGCTATGGTTGGAGAGAAATGCACGGGTTTTTGAAGATAAGTCTAGAGATGTGGATTTTCTATGGGATAAGGTCTGTCACTTAGCTTCCTTTTGGGTTTCAATGAGTACACTTTAAAGAATTTCCACTATTTTTGTTAGCTATGGATTGGATGTCGGTGTGTTTCATGTAGGGATTTTTTTTGGATGAAGTCAATATATTTTCTCTCTTTTTATTTTATTTTATTTTTTTTCCTTGTAGAGGATGCCTCATCCTTGACCCCTCTGTGTTTGGTCGCCGCCGTCGCTCACAATGCCAACACTTGCATCTAATCTTACAATCCTCAACATCCAAATACAAGTCAAACACAATAGGGCAACAAAAAACCACCTCAGGAAAAAGCTCAGTGTCAAAGGAGTGTAGATCTAGAAGTCCAGGACTGAACCCACTTGGCAACTCTGGGTCCTCACTGTTCTTTCTCTATCCTGAAGGCCGCGAATTAATCGAAGGCATCAACCTCACCACCAACGTCGCTCCTCGCTCACCAGCATTCTCCCTTCTTCCTCATTGGCATTCTCCCTTCTCCCTCATCAGCGTCTTCCTTCTCCCGCACAGGCTCTCCCTCCCTCTTACAGTTACTGCGGCTCGCCTCTCTCTCACCAGCTCTCCCTTCTCCCATCGGTATGTGCTTCTCTCTCAGATCTATGTATTTTGAGAGAAGATAATAAATTTACTAGAATTTAAAAAAAATAAAAAATAAATAAAATAAATAAATAAATAAAAATGTACTGGTTGTTTGAGCAGTCCATGATCTATGTATTTTGAGCTCTCCATCATCTATGTACATTTGAGCAGTCCATGATCTATGTATTGATGCCTATGCAAAAAAAATTTATTAATCTATGTATTTTGAGCAGTCCATGGATCAAAAAAATGTACTGATCTATGTATTCAGGTTGTTTTGGGTTTTGAGAAGATGATAGCTACCTCTGTTTATGCAAAAAAATGTACTGATCTATTTATTGATAGCTGCCTCTGTTTTGAGAAGATTATTTAAATTTTGAGCTGCCTCTAGGCCGAGGATTTTTTGGGGGTCGGAGAAACCCGATCCCCGTTAAGGGGTGGGGATGGGGAATTTTGTACCTTCGGGGATCGGGGACGGGGAGTGTAATCCCCGGCCCCGGCCCCAGCCGGTTGCCATTCCTAGTAGTAACTCACGTCAACAAGTTTCTAAAGGTCTTTTTTCTGGAACTAACACTTGATTTTGGTTTTTGTTTTGGGATAGTCTAAATTGGTCCAATAAAGTCCAAAAGTCTTCTGCAAGCCTTCCTCAATCAATCTCACTTTCTAAGAAAAAGTTTCTTTCTTTCTTTCTTCGTCAATGGGATATCATGGATATATCCGAATCTTATAGTCGAACCAAATAGTTGTCTACACTCTTGATTCCATCAAGGCCTAGAAGGGGTAGTAGGTAGGCAATCTTACCTTCACTTTTTTTATTTTTCGTTTTTGAGAGGCTTGTTTGTGTACTCGAACCAGCACCGCAAGCCTGAGGCAAATAGAACTTGCCGTCGCGTCAGGTCACAACATTCCATAAACTAGCACTACAAGTAGGAAAATTCTAGTTTAACAGAAATTTTATGCAAAATCCTCCACCTAAATGATGTGGTAGTGACATTTTTAATTAAAAGCCATCTTAGTACTTTGCTTGAAAGTGACAGGTAATCATATCATTTGCATACAATGGGACTGTTTGGTGCTACTTAAACAAGTTGCTTATAACTTCTTTTTTTTCTCTTGTTCTTTTTAATTTTGGTAGTATGTGCCAGACTATTTGCTTCTACTTATAATTTATTAGACATGAAATACTTAAATAAGTAGAAAAAAACTAATTATCTGGAAGCTGGAGGAGGGTGCTTTTTGGCTTCTGCTTTATGACTATTAGCTTTTACACCCACTATATGTATACATTTTTGTTTGAATAGTGTTACTCCCACCAATAATATGCTATGGAACATGGTTAGAATTTAAGCACACGAAAGAATTCTTTTCTAAGAAGCATGGATACAAACGCAAGATATGGACATTACATGCAAACATGACATTTAAAATAAAATAAAACAATAGGACGAGCATAATTGGGATGTGGCAATAAATATTTATTATGTATTTATGTCTGACAAATGATTCATTTTTTACATTGTCTGAAACATAAAGATAGCCTCTTTGCATATGGGAGTAAGACTGCATAATCTTAACCTTTCACATACCTCACAATGTCGAAAGCCACGTGCACTAGACTGCCATTTTTTTTATTATATATATTTTATTTATTATAATAAAATTAAACAATAATTCATTTTCCACATTTATATGTTATAACGGAGAGGAATAAAAAAAACTCTAGCGTTTTACTTGAAAAAAACTTAGTAATCACAAATAAATTGGAAGTTACAAGGGTTTCATGCTTTGAATATAATTAGAAATCCATAATAGAGTCCAACCACAATGACTGAATTGATTATCTTTATGCATAAGGATACTAACTTCCTAGTACAAAATATTTAAAAATCATCACAAACTCATGGCTGTGGAAAATAAATCAAATCAGACGGTTCTATTTATCAATCTTTCTGACTTGGGCCCAAGTTTATATTTTTCTCTTAATGGGAGTTCTGGGAGTCAGTTTATACAGTCAAGAAGTGCATTGTTGGCCTTGGACTGGAACATCAAGCGACTTTCAATTCAAAGGCACTTGCTATGGCTGAACATGAGGGAAAGATCATTTATACTGATATAGACAAGAACTTTTTATCAGGCTATGAAGATACTCTAAGCATTCCATGAGTTACATATAAACATTCCAACAAAGTAATGAAATGACATAAAATAGTTCGATAAGACACCAAACCTAGAGCTAAAATCAAACTATTTCAGTACATTTCTTACGATCTAATCAAAGCATTTAGGTTGAAAGCCGTAGTGCCCAAATTATTATTTTAGGTTAAGAATGTAGGCCCATTCAAATGATAAGTCATACTTTGGACCAAACTAATCAATCGTGTACTGGCTATACGTACGGGTACTCGTGCATTTCGGCATATTGTTTTGCTATAAATATTATATATTTCAACTGATTTGAATTTATAAAAGTCACCACAACATGAAAGCAATGAGATATTTGCTTAGAGCCTTGTCCAGCAAAAAAATAAATAAATAAAAATTTAAAAAAATTTACAAAAACAAAAAACAAAAAAACAGTGGCAGACGTAAGAAATGCTTAAGATTTAGATAATGTGTAATAAGTGGTAAAGATAAAAAGCTACCAAACCATGTACCATGTGGCAATGATGCGGTCATTGTCGATAAAACCTCCTCAAGAAAATATTTACACTGCAAAGAACTTTTTCTATAATATTCACATTCTGCAGTTGCATTAGAGGAATTCTCTATACAAACTTTAACAGCCTACAAAACAAGAATTTAAATGGTTATCAAATTCACACCAATAGAGAAGACTTAAAAAATAACAAATATTTATGGAATTCAAGATGGAATATCAACAAGGAGAAAACCACAAATATTACACTGTAGCAAAAAAGCCAAGACCTGAACAACTACAAAGAAAGAAATAATGATTATAGACTTAACAATATCAAAAGCAATTCATATTGCTTTCTTTTTCACTTATAACCACTCTTGAAAGAATAAAGTAATTGCACATATAATCCTACCTCATAAGCACATAGGAGGCCAAGATCATCGAGGCAATACAAGATCTTTGCATTGTCATTGGACAGCCGCTTTCTCAGTGCCGTGTACTTATCTTCCGTATCTCTATATTGACTTGAAATTGAACCTTGCAACTCAAGCAACAAAGCATCAAACTGTTCGTGCAGAAAACAAAAATTCTTTAGTAAGTTCACCACATCTTTATAATAACATAGTGCATAGTCAAATGGATCATTACATATATATTAATGTTTTACATTATGTGTGTACCATCATGTGCAGAATAGATGGATATATGTGTGTGTGCTTGGGATACCTTCTTCCATGATGATTCCAGCTTTGCTTTCAAATCCATATTCAAAGACACTGCTGGATCATAGAATCTACAGATTTCTTCTGCAGAGGGGATGATTTCTTCCAGTTCTGTCCTGTCTTCTACTGTATAAATCTGCACAAGCACATAGCAGAATCAAATGCACGGTGATTTAAGTAAGATGCCCACTGCATAATTTATTTTCAAAAATGTGTAAGCACCTGGGAATCCAAGATGCCTTCAAGTTCTGATATTTGCTCCTCACAATCCGTGAGGGATGAGACACCTGATGCGCAAAAGCATATTAAAAACACAAATTTAATCCGCAACAAAGATATGAAAATCATAAATTAGAAATCAAATAGACAATTAGAAGGAAATAAAGTAAAATATGTGAACATCAAGTGATCTTTCAAAAAACTGAATACTATTAAAAAACCGTACTTCTAACTATAGTTGAACTTTCAAAGATGTGAAAGAAGTGCCACCACCAAAATTAGGAACAGCATGAATCTCATTAAAAGTTTTTTTTTTATTATTTTAAAAAAAAGTTTAATACAGAACATCTGCAACTTCCAACAATAGCTGCAATTTGTGTCAACTGACTACCAAATTTGACCCCATGACATCTTGGTTCAGTATTTACATGCATACCCTTTAGATTGACTATGGCTAGGAAATCAAGACACTATGTAGGGCTAGCTCTATCATAGATCAGCAATTCAGGGAAAGTAACAGGTGAATAATGTAAATTCACATATAGACAATATCTCCAATGTCCATAATACATTCATATATCAGTTAACATATACAATGACATTAGTTTACCAATTTATAGGTATCTACTTTTTGCCTTAATGTCACCAATAGCCTCAACAATATTATTGTTGATGGCATTGCCATTTCATCATCTAGTTGACGTCGAATGAAAGGAATTGGTGGAAAAATAATTGACACCAGGAATTCTAGTTTATTTAGAAATCATAATGTCATTACGATTTTAGTTTTTTTTCCCCATTACTGAATAATGCTTGTAGGCCCATATATAGAGGGGGGGTGGGCCAAATAGTAAAAAAAAATTCCAGAAGCAAAAAAACCTTGGGCACAAGAAATTTGGGGAGTTTAGATTTCACTTTGGAGCATCAATACGCAATTGGGGCTACTTGCACTTTGAATAAGGAATGCATTCTCCTATCGAAAATTGAGAGCTATGAAGTATGGACATAGACACTAGACACGGCACGGACAAGTCGACACAACAAATTCCAAAAAAGTAGGACACGGACAAGGCTTGTGCATGCGACAAATAATTATATTATCCAAGATTTTTTTTTTTTTTTTGGATTGGCACTAGGGTGTCTGGATCAAAGCCCGACTAATCCCCAAGGGTGCATAGGCCCTCGGCAAAGAGTTTTCCACAAGTGCACCATAGTTAATTCAAGGGTTTCCCTCCCAATCCAATGGCCCCAAAGAATTGTTAGCACCTAAGAGGTTTCGATCCTTGAACCTTGGAGGGAGCACACCCCAAGACCCAAGGCCTTGTGTCACGGGCTGCCCCAAAGAGCCCCTTGATGTCCAACATAAGTGCCAAGGGGTGCCCAAGCAAAGAGCCAAACATTGCCCAAGAGATGCCCAAGACATGGGCCAAGCATTGCCCAAGCAGCACCATAACAAGCCACCACATGCCAAGCCACATGCCTAGCAACCAAGACATGGGCCACGGCCGACACTTTTGAGCATATGGAAGGATCTAGCCACTTTTTGCCGGACATCCAAAGGTGCTTAGACTAGTATAGAATATTTACTTTGATGTAATACAAGGCATGTTGCCTATTTCTTTTTATTTTATTTATTATGAATTTTGTAAGAGTCATTACGACTCCTCAAGCATACCCAATGTTTTCTCCTGTCAATCTGAAAAGGGCTTAAGAAGCTATTATAAGGAGGGAGTACCCAAGTGTTGAACCACACCACTTGTGCCTTAATGTACCCCAACTTCGGCTAGTGCTAGGACTATTTTGTAGCACATTTGTGCATTGTAGTGGCATTGTAATTTTACTCTTTTGTTAATGGAAATGTTGTTATTTCGCTTCTAGTTTGTTGCCTCCCAATGTAATTCTTTTGCTTGTATTTTCTTTGATTGTTTGCTTGTAACTTGCTTCCACCGAAGACTTGGGTTTGGCGGGCTTGCCTAACGGGACTTGGTAAGCACCAAACGAGGTGTGCTTGTGTTTGAAAGCCTCACCTTGTGACAGCAGGCCAACCCCCTGGGGTTCATATTATCTAAGAATATCTTCTATTATATAGTTTTATATGTGCATAATATCTACAAAATTAAAATAATTGCTTTATACTAATTAAATCTTGTATCTAATTTGAATTTTTAGCCTAGCAAGTATATATAGTTGTGACATTTGCCTCATCCTTCTTAGCCATCTACTAACTAATACATTTACGTATCATCATTTTTCACTTACTTTTCTATGAAACTTCTATAAGACTATTCTTAATAATTATACAATTAAGGATACAAAATATTTATGTGAAATTCTCGAAAATCATATGATAGCAAATGTCCAAAAAGTGTTGGTTTGATGTTTATTTATTTATTTAGTGATAGACATGGCCAAGAAGTGATGGACAAGTCACAAAATAAGTGTTGAACACGTGTCCGAAATTAAGATTTTATTTTTAATTAAGGACATGTAAAATGGAGTATCGGACATGTGTCTGAGAGTGTCCGAGGAGTGTCGGTGTCCTGCTCATGACATGGACATGTCACCTTCTTAGAAGTGTTTGTGCTTCTTAGATTAAGACCATGATACGTGGACTCTTCGATCCCCTTAGTGTACATGTGCCCACCAGTTATGACAAGGGTAGAGGTAAGAAATATGTGGGCCTATACCCAATTTAGACACATGGATCCTCTAGCTTTGTATGATGACTGAAAAAGCGATAGCACATCTTTGATAGTAAAGAAAATTTTCCAACCAAGATGAATGGGAAACCGCATCCCCTTATTTTCCTAAATCCAATTTAATTTCAAGTGAATTTCTCAATAATGTCATGTCATAAATTTTAAAATAATATATACAATATATTTAAATGTTCTATATATATTTACATACACACACCCAACTTTTACATCAATATACCTATATCCTAAGATTTACAACAGGTTTGGTACATGAAATGGGGTAAAATGAAATGCTCATTCCTTATTTGTATTCTCCTTCTCTTGTTTGATATGCCTTATGTAAATGGGAATACCTATTCCTACCTCCAAGCTAAGGAATAAACATTCTATCCTGCAATAGTGTGTTGGTCTTTGTTGGCCACCACCATTGTCGCCACCACCGTCACCACCCCCCCTTACAATCATCACCACCGACCTTGCTGCCACCAGCCCCAACCACCCCACTATCCAGGAAAAAAAATTCTTGATTGTCTTGGGCCCCATGGCCATTGTTCTAAGTTTCAAAAAAATAATTTTCCTAAGCATATCAATCGATGCGCATCAACCAACCCTCACCCAAACTAGCACAACATATCCCACTACAAAGTGCTGTATCTTTTGAGTGCCTCAGCCCACTGCATAACTTCAAATGATTCTTCACATTCCTAGGAATCTAAAATGGCAAACAAAAGGATATAGTTGCCAACCCATAGACATATAAGACTAGTGATACGAATCAATGCAAATAGGTTATTTGACGATAGACATAATGTATTTAATAGTGCGCTTATTAGAGGTAATTACTTTGCGCCCTAGGCCGATGTAATCTAGAAACTTGAAGAAATGAGAGACAAGCTAAGAAGCATAGACACTTCTAAGAAGGTAAATTGTCGTGTCAGATACGTGTCGGACACCAACACAACACGACACTAGTCAGACACTTCCTAACACTTAAGACACACATGAAACATATTACAAGTTTGAATAAATTAACTTGGAATCCAATGATAAAACAAAATAAATTTACACATTCTCTCCTCCAGACTCTAAAAATTATTATCTTTGACTACAATATTCATATATACTACATATAATAAAATTATTTATTCTTATAGATGACATAATAAATATATAAAATTATTTATTTGCATGTGTCTCCCCAATGTGTTGGGTCATACACTTCTTTAAAATTGTTGTGTTAGCGTGTCAGTGTCGTGTCTATGTCCGTGCTTATTATGAGAGGAGGTATGGTGCCTACATCCATGCTAAATTCAACACTGAGCAAGATAGGATACTGAATTACTGTAGCTAGACTTGCTACTCTACAAGAGCCCTGGGCATAGCATTCAAGAACATATGCACCATTGCCATAACAAAGCAACAATACAATTGAACAATTTCTATTACAATAATTGAGAATTTATTCGGAAGAAACTCAATTGAGTAATGTTAGTGTAACAATTGGAAAAATTTTGAATTTTGAATTAATATAGTTTAGCCCTAACTAAGTTTAATTAATTATTCATTTTAATTTAGACCTCTACCTATTAATTTTTGGCTCAACCAATTGTCTCATTTGCATCCATTGGTTCTCGAGCCAATACGAGACAACCCTTCAAGCCAAGTGTACGATGTTAATGTGACCATAGGGTCAATCCTGTTAGATTCGAATTTAATTTCTTGCTGAGAATAAGTAGTGCAGCGACCACCTCGTTTTGTGTGCACCTGAGCTTGAATTGGCACGAGACCTAGTATTAGATGTTAATATGTTAACACGGTGTTATTTAATACTTTGAAGACATTCTAGTGAATTGGAAATTCTGGTGAGTAGTTAGTCTCATTACCTGATTCCGATTTGCTTTGAGATTTAGGAGATGGAATCTCTAGGCCTAATAATTATTTATTTAGTGTAATTTATGCGTATTTTATTTATTTGAATAATCCCTATAAATTTCGTGCAATTCTAGTACAGAAAGTGCACCTTTTATATGTTTGAAACTACACAGATTTGAGCTACGGTTTTGGGGAAGCCTAAAACCCTCAAATAAAGCAAAGTTTATAGAATTTTGGGTCCAAGAAGCCTAGAGTGCTGAACCCCCCTGTTCTACTCCCTTGATCATCTTTTGCCCAAAATGGGCCATGCACTGCACTTGCGCAATTACCTACCGCCTTACACAATCACCATTTCGGCAAGAACCACTCTCATAAGTGTACTAAGCACACTTTGACCCATATAATCCTATTATGTGTATAATTATATATAATGGTTGAATTCAAAATGGAAGGCCTAGGTGCTTTTCTTATTTCAAGATCAAGTTAGGACCCTTGGATTAAGTTTTATTTAAAAAGGATATTTGGCCAAAAGTCCCTCATTGTAAAAATGAAAGTCCAAACTTTTTTAATTTGTAAGCCCCCTAGAGAAGAAGCACGTCTTTCGTCAAGATCAAGCAAATTTGTTTCCATTTTTTTATAGACAATCTTACCCTTAGTAACTACTTTTATATTTCAAACTTTAAAATCATATGACTTATGATCTATACATTGGTTTTTAATAAAATTAGTAGTTTTAGAATCCTCTTGTCAAAATCTATTAACCAAGATCCATGTTGGCTATGAAATTCTTTTAAAAAAAAAAAACCGAATTTTTTTCTTGTTGAAACTAACGTCAACAGTAAAATTTTACTCTTATTAATAGTCAAATTTTACTGTGAATCATAGTAAATTTTACTGTGAAATAGAGTTTATAGCAAAATTTTATTGTGAATCAAAGTAAAAATCTTGATAAGAGAATTCTAAACAAACTAATTTTATTAAAAATCAATATCTAGATCAAAAGTTATAACATTTTAAGGTTTAAAATATTAAATTAGTCATTAAGGATATTTCGGTAATAGTGGTATGTGCTGAACTTTTCAAGAAAATTCTTTTGTATTTGTCCTTAATGCATTGAAGTTTTATTATGAAAGGGCTTTGATCAAATCCACCTATTTAAAATTAATCATGAAAAAACATTTCATTTTCTCTCCTCTCTCTAAACCGAATCTCTCTCTCTCCCTTTTTGCTTTTCTCATCCTCTCTCTAGATTTCTCTCACTAAAAGCCTTGTTGATCCTTAATGTTGGATCAAGAGTGAAGTTTAGTGTTGGTGAGCTTCATACCTTGATTTTTAGAGAGATTCGTGAATTTAAAAGTGCAGTTTTGGTTTGGATTGACGACTTTTGTCGAAGAACTTGGTGTTCTTGAGGCTTACAGTCCATTTCTACCTCTTCTCTTCATTTTTCATTGGTTTGAAGCTTCAACTGGTAGGGGTTGCCTCATTTTCTTTTAGAACAACATGCTAGGGTTTATTTCAAGTTAATCTTTTAATTTCATGAGTTTATGGCATGGTAGCATGACTTAAAATGTTTTTATTTAAATCCATGAAATACAGTTTAGTTTATGATAGTCTAAATTAATTTTTGAGTTAAGTTAGATTTTCATATTCTAAACTTCTGAAGTGTCTTAGTTGGTTGATTTCATGAATTTAGAGTACAATGTTGCCACGTTTCATTTAATTTCATGAAATACAATATTTAATAAATTTTGGGCCTTTTGCTCAAACCTCAAAAAAGTGTAATCTATGCCATATTCTAAGACTTTTTATGTAAAGAACATAATTTTTGGACAACTTTAGATTTTTGTGAAATCTTGAAATTGTTAAAAATTTGGAAAAATAATGTAGTTAGACTAATTATGGGGTTAAATGTCTTAGTTAAAAAGATGGTTTGATTTGGTAGAGCTTTGCTATTTTTCTCATATTTTCCAAACTAGTTTTGCTTACTAGTTTCTTAAATAAATATGTTTCCATGATTATTTTAATGTTTAAGTTACTTTTATGAATTTATTGGATTATTTAATGAATTTAGAGGCTCTAAGGGATAAATGGTAATTTTGGCCATTTGGGGCTAAATTAGTCCATTAAAAGTAATTTGGGTGAAATTCGTGAATTATCATACAAGAAATTAACTAGGGGTTAATTGGGTAAAAATGGTAAATGATGCCTTGAGGGCATTATGGTAATTTTTCCTTGAGAGCAATTTGGTAATTTAGGCCTTGAGGGCATCTTCGTAATCTGTGCCTTGGGGGCATTTTGGTCAATTATGACTTATGGGCGTAATTGTAATTTGACCCCTAAGGGTATTTTGGTAATTCGGGTCCTTGGGGGCATTTTGGTCATTTTAGACTAGTATATTCTTATTATAGCCTTAGGGGCAAATTGGCTATAAAAAACATTGTTGACAAAAGAAATGGCTAAGTGTTGGAACTCAAGTATGGAAAAGTAGAAATTTAACTAAGGCCTCGTTTGGGAACAGGCTTTCTTAGTAACTTTTTGGCTTTTTTGCTAAAATATGATGCAAAAAAAACTAGTATGTTTGGGATGACTTTTTGATTTTTTACGAAAAGATGTGCAAAAAGTAGAGAGAAAATGGAATCTTTGACTTTTTGATATAGGTTATTGGCTTTTTGATTTTTTTAGTAACTTTTTGGCTTTTAGACTAAAAGAGACAGTTCCCAAACGAGGCCTAAGTATTAAAAACAAGTATTGGTATTTACTATACTTGGTTGTCTTAGGGTGCGGCCCGATGTTATTGATTTTACGGGCTTGGCCCAGGTTATAGACTTATAGCCGGTATTGTCCTCCAACTCACTTGAGGAAGATAGTGGATGTGACTATCTGTGCATTAGACCCTTGAACATTGCATAGTTTAGAGGAGTAGTAGCCTCCGGTGATTAAGGATGGAGTTTCTTTCTCACACGCAACTCGGAGGGAGCCTGGGGTGTGATTAGGAAAGGACCTAGTATGTACTTATTTATAGCTTGGACACGGTATATGTAGGCAAGGCTAGGTTTATTGCCCTGTTGGCAAGTTATTGATGCCCTGTTGGCGGTTATTGATATCGGATTACTTCTATTATTTAATTATACTAGTGTGAGTTAATTAAATAAAATGGACTTGACATGTTTACTTACTAAGAAATGAGATTATTGTCCAGTGAGTATCAATACTCACCCTCCTACATTGTGTAGGTACTGATGGACGCCTGCCGTTGTGAGCACCAAGAAGTAATTTATTTTGTTCACTTTAGACCTTAGGTTAATTGGGTCTACGTACCTTTACACCTTTTTTGTCGAATTACTGTATTAATTATCAGGTCTGTAACTTAAACATTTATTTCCGTTGTTGCATGTTGTATTTCATTTAATTGTTTTGCACACTACGTGAGGATGTGTTTAGTATGCGAGAGAACACTTGAATTTCTAAACTTAAAAAGTGCTTTATATCAAAAACTATTAAATGGCACATTTCTCAATACAAGTCAAATTTTATCAAAAACACTTCATTTTGTCACTTGAAGTCAAGTTAGGCTTGATAAAGGAAAAATGAACACGTTTTCCAACGTCATTTAATCTAAGGCCATTGGGCGTGTTTTACAAGGCATATCCAATTTTAAGAATGTTTTACACAATTGGAAAAAAAAAAATAAATAAACATTGAAAAGTGACAAAACCAAAATAGAAATAAGAACTACCTTTTCTTATTACAGGGGAGGCTGTCATTCCAAAAATCTTTGGCTTGTTTCTAGATTTGTGATAAAATTCCTTCACCAAAATTATATATTATATAATCAATAATATGCATATATACATTAATAACCATAAAAGAAAGAACTAGGTATGTGAAGGTGAATAAGATGAAGTTGGCACAAGCAGTGAAGGAATTTCTACACAAACTAATGTTTACCTTCATAATTTTTGTGTAAGGATGGTTACCAGTAGCACGATGGCATTCATCAATTATCATTAAGCATACCATTTCAAAACTCACAAATGCCTTCCTCAGGGCATCCAATAAAATCTGGGGTGTCAAAACCAATACCTGTTAAACAAGCAAAAAATCATATAGCTATGCATTAGCACTAACATATGTGCTAGCCCCAAAATTTCTTAGAATGGTTTTGATTAAAAACAAATTGGGTTTAAGGAGGTACATAAATTGTCTTTCAAATATCTTGAGTTCTAAACTTAGTTATTGTGCTTGAATTTCTCTTATATTCTTAATTTAATCTCATGTTAAATGATCTTTTGAAATGATGATCTTATGCATAATGATCCATATTTATTGTGAGATTTTTGTTTTATCAAATTTGGAACACCCATTTTCCAGAAGGTGTATTGAATGGTGTCGATACCATGAGAGAAAGGAAAAAGGAAAACACTTCAGGTTGGAGGGCGTCAACATCAAAACCAGGCAATGACAACTAAAAATTACAGAGAAGTATTTCAAGCTGAGGTGTCAACTCAAAACATCTCGTTGTCGACTAAAAATCCATATGGTATCCCTGACCGTACGAAGGTGTTGACTCAAAACACCTTGGTGTCCATATAGTTTTACATTGCTCTTGAAAAATCTCACTGAAGAATTTTGGTGTTGACTCCATCCAAGTTGTTGTCAATACCAAAGTCAGAAATTTCAAAATCTAATGGCACAACATCACCTTTTTCAACTACATCACCTTTTTCAACTAGGCTGTTTGCATTCACCCCAACAAGTACCAACAATCATAAATCAAAGGGAGGGCTACAAAGGAAGATCAGAACTCATTTGATGACAAATTGTGCAGAAAATGTAAAGATAAATTCTGTGCTTTAGATTTGAGCCTTAGCCTATAATGTATTCTCTTTGTTTCAGTACTTCATTAATTATTCACTCTTAAACAGAGTTACTGTTGGATTTCTTGTCTCTAACACACTTGTAAGAAGGGTGGTTGTGCCCTTAGCATTTATCATTAAGATTGGAGAGAAAATCTCTGAGAAAGAGAAGAAACCAGGGTTCTGTTTGGGTATAAAACAAAGGCTTGTTCTGTGAAAGTTTTTCAGGAAGAAAACTTTCGTTGTAAGGTCAACTAGGACCTGCAAAAGCTAGTTGGTCTAAAAGATTTACAAGATGGTTCAAAACACTTGAGGAGATCCTTGAGGAGTTTAACACAAGATAGGGTTTAAGCCAAATCTCTCTGTCTCATCCATTATTCCTATTTGCCTATTCACTACAACATTAAATCTTGATTTGCATTCACTCTATCTACAAATCATTCATTGCTTGCTTGTTTCAATCATTAGATTTTAATTTGGGCTTTTGAACTTAATTTTTTTTTTTTATTTTTAAACTATTAGGTAACAATTGGTATTAGATCTTGAGCTCGTGTTTTGAATAAATTAGAAGTCACACATGAGGGGACTAATCAAGTAAAGGATCAAAAATTAATATGCTTGTCCACAGTTACAAACTCTAAAAAAGAAAAGGACAAATCCATTTTAGAAATGTTCACTAGATTCACTGATACAATAAATGGTTTGAAATAACTCGGTAAAAAAGACTTTAATGTTGAAATGGTAAGGAAAATCCTCAGGTCACTACCAAAGACTTGGGAGATGAAGGTGACCGCCATTCAAGAAGCCAAGGATCTTGCAAGGTTAAGCTTTGAAAAGCTTTGGGTGTCTCTTATGACTTATAAGCTCACAATGAGGATGACAACAAGAAAGAAAAGGAGATAGCCTTCAAGTCATCCACCACCTATGAAGATGAAGAGGAAGACACTGGCGACGAGGATGAGGTTTATTAGTTGCAGGAATTGTGCATACAGATCTCATTTCTTCAGAAGCGTGTAAGAAACATGTTTCTTTTGGGAGAGAAAGGAATTTCTATCTAAGATGGGATCGGTGGTGAAAATCGAACAACTCCAAAATCAATACAAAAAAAAAAAAAAAAAAAAACAAAAAACTGAAGCAGATTTAGGCATAGATCTGAAGATATGGATCTGAGAGAAGGAGAAAAAAAAAAGGAATCTGATTTTTTTTTTTTTTTTTTGAAGGAGGAAATGAGGTAGAAGAAGAAGAAAGATGGCATTTCTTTCAAAGAAGATGAAGCGAAACGAGACCAAGAGAGAGAAGACAACACAGCAGCTGCACTTTATTTGCTGTATTTATCTTTCTTTCATTTTTTTATATTTTATTTTGACCTAGTTTATGGTTGTGGGCTTCATTGGGCCTATAGTTGGTCTTAGCTTGCAGATTCAAAGAATATTGGATACTAATTGTATTGCAATCAAAGTCCATTAAAAAAAAAAAAAACATGCATATTATATAAAAAATATATATATATATAAATAAATAAAATAATGAATTTTGATATATTTGAATAAAGCCAAAAAAAAAAATCTGTATTTTTAGTTATCTTCGATTGTATTATATTATATATATATATATGCTTCCCGAGGTGGGGCTAGATGGGAAAGAAGTGTCGAAAGGCTTGGGTGATTTCTTCCCATTGTTTGCTTTGGTTAGTGCGGTTAGAGCGTAATAGGCGTGTTTTCAGTTTGTGTCATTCAGTCGCTCGGCTAGAGAGTAGGTTATTGACAGTAGGGGTGGGCATAGGGTTAATTGATTCGTACAAACCGCCCGACCCTACCCTACCCGCACGTTTTTGGGCGGTTACGACGGCTACATATGGGCAGGTGCAGGTGCAGGTGCAGGTGTAGTTTTAGCTTAGTTTGAGGGTAGCGGGCAAGTTGCGGTTTATGCCGCACAAATCCAATCCGGCCGCACAGTCGATTAAAAAAAAAAATAAACTTTTGTTTTTTTTGTTCTTACCCTAGCGCAAGCAATGCAGCAACAAAGCAATCCAAGAATCACTTTTCATTCTTTTCTCATCTCTTACTCTCTCTCTCTCTGCAAAGTAGCAGTAGTCCAACGCAGCACTGAAGCAGGTAATATTTATATATAAATATATATATATTCATATTGATGTTGACTATATTTTTCTTGAGAGCAAAGATTCAACCCATCAAATAACATTATAATATTGTATATATGCATTTTTTGGCCTATTAAAACAGAATATATGATAGTAGAGAAGTCTAAAAAAACAAGCCCAAAAAACATGAAAAAAATACAAGCCCAACCCGCTTAACTGATTCGCACCCACTCGCATAACCGATTAAACCACCCGCACGAACCGCAACCCGCAATTCGGGCAGCTACGGGTCCATTTTTCATGTTGGGTGGAAACCAACACGCACCTGCGCAAAATCAGCCCGTGAGCAGCCCTAGTTGACAGTGTTGCATAGTTGGGTTACGGGTTCAGTTGATCCTAATGTTTTGGTTTTTGTAGATTTCATGAAAGATTTGATTAGTTAGTTTTGTTTGGGCCCTTTGTTTATGGGTCGTCTTTTTGTATTCTTTGCAATGTCTTAATGCTTTTCTAATAAAGTTTGATTATTTATCAAAAAAAATAAACTAGTCTTAAACATTTTTACATAACACAAATAAAGAAGAACAAAATATTGTTTTAAAAGAAAATGAGTCAAGTTTGGTTATATATAAGTTATAACCAAATATATGAAAGATGAGTAGTCTGATGGACGGAGTAAATGAAAGATGAGTATGATAGTTTAGCACTAACTTTTCTCTTGTATATGAAATGATGAAGTGCAATTAAGTCCAGCTTGGTATTGTATTAGACTAATTACATAAAAACATGACAACATGAATAAAATTGTATGTAATATATATATATAGGCTTGGATCTCAGGTTGGTGTGGTTTAGTCATGGCCTAAACCGAAAACCAACCCAATCCTACCAGGTTGATGATTTTAAAACCCAAAACCAAATCAATATATTAAGAAAACCAAACCAACTCAACCCATAGAAACTGTGTTACAGTTTGGTTCTCAAATTTTCTGGTAAATTGTGCATGCCTATTGCCAACACTATTTTACAACTCTTGAAAAATCTTGCTGGAGGATTTGGATGTCAACTCAATCCAAGTTGGTGTCAACACTAAATTCAAAATTTTCAAAATCTAATGGCACGAAATCACATTTTCAACATACCTATTTGCATTAAATGCACCTCAACTACCACTAACAGTCAAATATGCATGGCTATAAAAGAAAAAATCACAACTCATGTGAAGATGATAACTTCTGCATTAAATGTGAAGATTCATCTTGTCCTTCAGATTGGGGCACTAGCCTTTCATACACTATCTATTTTTGTACTTCACTGGTTTATTCACTCCTAAGGAGAGTTGCTGTTGTATTTCTTGTCTCCAACACTTGTAAGAAGGGTGGTTATAGGCTTAGCACTTATTGTTAAAAGATTGGAGAGAAAATATTTATAAAACAAAATAAGAAACCAGAGCCTTATTTGAGCATAAAACAGAGGCTGGTGGTGTGAAAGTTTTTTAGGATGAAATTTCATCGTAAGGTCAACTAGCATCCGTTGAAGCTAGTTGGCATAAAAGATTTACAAGATAGTGCAGAACACTCAAGGAAGATCCTTCAGCAGTGGACATATATTTGGGTTTAAGTCAAACTAATATAAAAATTGTTGACTTTGCATTCTCTCTGTTTCTCTTTTATCCATAATTCCTAATTGCCTATTCAATGCAACATTAAATCTTGATTTACATTCATTTTTTAAATCGTTCTTTTCTTGCTTGCATCAATCATTAGATTTTAATTTGGGCTTTTTAACTTTAATTTTTCTTTTTAACAACCCAGTTCACCCCCTAACCCACTTCTTGGGTTGACTCACCTGAGTAATAATAATATGATTTTGAGATACCAGCTCGTGAGTAAATTTTTAAGAAAAATAACTTACATTTTGATCATGGTGAACAAGAGACTGTTTCTTTTATGTCCACGCCACTAGGAATATATCAATAAATATTCAAATATTTTTATCTTACGCTCTCTAACTTTGTTCTCAAAGCCCATTGCTTTGACAATAAGAAAAAATTTAGAAAATTATTAACTAAGGGACTTTTTGGTAACCCCATTTAAGTACTAAATCCCAATTTTTACGAAGGATCTTCCAATACAAGCATTTTATCATGCACAGCTGGCTATCACTTAAATTGGAAATCTACTTAAACAAGAGTCCAAATCTATGTTAGCTGGAACGTGGATCGTTCCAGTATGTGAAACGGGAACTGGAACATGGTACGCAGCATGTTCTAAAATGTGATACGATTAGGATAGACTTGTATATATGACACTTAAGAATTTAAGGTACTTTTAGAGTATTTTTTTTTTTTTTTAATTATTAGGCATCCAATAATATATATATATATATATATATTTTCTTCCATTTTTGTGCTTTTGTCTTATCAAAACTTAAGTCACCTTAGATTTTAACTCATTATATTTGATTTTTATTCCTCCTAAGGTAACATTCAAGGAAATATATTGGAAAAAAACTTTTGGAATCATTTCGGATCACTAAATTTACCGTTTCGGAACGGAAGTGTACCATGTTTCAGAACATGAGTACCAATACGTAATTTGTTAGGGTATTAGCATTTTCTAGTAACACAGGTCTAACTTTCAAGGCCTATAAGACTGACTCATCATTAAACCTTACAAAACAAATTCAAATCTTTATTTTTTAAATTGAAAATTGAATCGAAAGGTTTCAGAACTAAAGTTTTCTGGCAGTAAATATTCAATGTATTTACTTATGAAAAGGAGAACAACTATATAGTTCAAAACCACAAAGTCATTTGCCAAAATGACCTTTTGTCCATTGGTTTTGCTGACAAAAGTTTTTAAAGCAGTGGAGATAATAACTTGATGCCTCATCCAAAAGCTCTGTGCGTAGTCACCTTACTTTCCAAGGTTGAAGATTAGACATCAGAAGTAAAGTTTCAATAGTAAAGGGCAATCTCAAGAAGAAATGATGTCGTATGATATTTAAAAGCAGGTTTTTACTACGGTTATTTACATGGAGACCCCCTAACTATTGAAAAACATTACTTGGACCATCTGAACTATAAAAGCGTACAAATGGACCCCTTAAACTATTGAGAAATATCGCTTTATCCTCTAAACTATAAAAGCATACAAAGCATACCTTCCCAAATCCCCAACCAAACATAGTGTTAGTTTTAGTATATTGGATTAGAATCAAGAATCACTTTTCTTCTAAGTTAATGTGAGAACCAGTCATTAAATAACTCAGCCTCTCTGAGGGTCGACACCCGAACTAAACCACTACTATACATAATGGATGTTATAGTATCTATTGTCTATTATGACATAATAAATCCATTAAATTAAAGGCAGCTTATGGTAGGATTCTTACATTAATAAATCAAAACAAAACCAAGGGAGGAAAAAGAAGAGGATAAATGATGGGTCCATATGCAGAGAGAGTTATATGAATGTAGATAAAAGAAATAACATGAGGAGGTGTTGAAGAATCCAACTCACATCATGGTCATTAATTTCCTTTTCCCAGGACTTAGCATTCCACTCATCCACCCCCTTGGCTCCATAGTATTCTTCCACTTGAAGATTTGTGTGAACCTTCATAACTTCAAATTGCTACAATGCATAGAAAGACTTGTTCTTAAATAAAACCACATTTAATTAGGTAATCTCAATCCTTAATTTTAAAAAAAGAGGACAAAGCAAAAGGTGAATACAACTATTCTGCCCAAATTAAAAGACACATATTTAAAGAGTAGACATTGGAAGGACTTTGAAAAGGAACATGCCTGGTGAACAAGGTGAACAGTGGGAGCCAAGAATACAATAATATTTTTATGAGGGGGAACTAGGTTGAGAGATGGAGCCATGTCATTGATGATCATGACAGCAATCATAGTCTTCCCAGCACCGGTTTCTAAGACGGCGATTGTGTTTCTCCGCATTGCAACTTCAAAAACCTTCAATTGATACCTAATAATGCGTATAAACATAGTATTTTATATATATATATATATATATATATATATATATATATAACTCAATCATAAGAAAAAAACAATAAGAACTTGAACAATGACCAAGTAATACAAGACAAAGAGAAGGAGAAAGAGAAAGAGAGAGATACCCTCTGGGTCGGAAGTTGTGCGGAGTGAGAGAAGAACTAGTAGTAGTAGAAGGAGGAGGAGCAATGTCCATCTCTATAGGATCAGATTGCTTTGAATTCATGATTTCAAAGCTTCTCTTCAGAGGCTTCACTGCCTCTGCTTCGTCTGGGGAATGCATCTTCTCAATCAACCCCAAACACAGACAACCCACAACCCTCAAGCTTACTAAAAAAGGTCCAATATATATATATATATATATTATATAAATAAAAAGCAAGAGACGGAAGTCCGTATCTGTTACCACTTACTAATTAATGTTAGTACTTACCAATTAATGTTAGTATCCAGTTTCTGTTAGTTACTCTGTTTATAAGTCAAAGAACAATTAATTTTTAGTTTTTAATTCATTTTAGATTTTATTATTTTTCATATTTTTTATAAATAAAAAAATTAAAAAAATAAATTTTCAATTAACTTTTCAAATCACTCCTATGTTTGGTTTAAAATTTTTAAAAATAAAATTTTAAACTATATTTTTAAAGTTTTAATATTTTTTTAAATATTTAATCAATTTGTTTGGTTTTTTAAATTTAATTAATTTTGATATATTTAAAAATATAAAATTTGTACAAATTTTTAAAATTCGTTTAATACAACAAAAGATGAAAATTTATTGAATATAACAAAATACAAAAATGTATTGAATTTTTATATTTTTTTTTATATTTGATGAATTTTTTTAAGTCTTGTTTACAAATATTATAGCTTTTAAGTATATTTAGATGAGATGCATCTAAAAAATAAAAAAAATTCATAAAATATTTAAAAAATTTATTAAATATAAAAATACTAAAACTACAAAATTCAATTTTTTTTTTAAAAAAAAAAAAAAAAAAAAAAAGAGGAAAAAAAAAAAAACCCTGAAAGAAATGATGAATGCCATGTTACTAAGTTCAGGCTTACAGAAGAACTTGTAGGGGGAAGCAATATTATTTGCTAATTATGTTCTTAACAGAATAACCCACAAGAAAACTAACAGCACTCCTTATGAATTGTGAAAAGGTCAACCACCTTCCTACAAATACTTAAAAGTGTGGGGGTATTTGGAAAATGTAGAAGTTCATATTCCAAAAAAAACTAAGATAGGACCAAAAACAGTGGATTCTGTGTTTATTGGTTATGCTCAGAATAGTAGTGCATATCGATTTATGACTTATAAATCAGAAATACCTGATATACATATGAACACTATTATAGAGTCAAGGAATGCTGTGTTTTTTTAACATGTCTTTCCTTACAAGAAAGGACAGGAA